CTTCTACTACCCTTTTTGAAAATTGGGACCACTGATGCCACCCTCCAGTCCTCTGGAACTTCACCCGTTCTCCACGAGGCCTCAAAAATGGAGGCCAGCGGGTGTGAGAGAACCCCTGCCAACTCTATAAGTACTCTCAAGTGTAACCTGTCAGGGCCTGGCACCTTTGCAATGTCCAATGCCCTGAGAAGCCCCTCAGCTTCAAGGGGAGTGACTCTAATCTGTGGCCCTAAGTCCCCATCCTCATCTAATCTCCTATGCAGATACCCCCCGTCCTGCTTTGGGGAGAACACAGAGGCAAAATAATCATTTAGCATCTGTGCCTGTTTCCTCATATCAGTCATTGGATATCCTTCCTCCTTATTTAATGGTCCCACCACTTGTCTCCCCTTTCTCTTCCTATTTACATGCTGAAAGAAGCCCTTTTTGTTGCTCTTGATATTCTTGGAAAGTCTCAGCTCATGATCAGCCTTAGCCTTGCGAAGAATCCTTCTGCAATGGGCCTCCTCCTCCTGGTATGCCCTTTTGTCTATTTGTCCCAGTACCCATTTCCTACAGAGGTTCCTCTTTTGTCTAATCCCTCTAACCACTTCCTTTCGCATCCATGGCAGCACTCTTGATTCTTATTTCTTATTTTGGTCCATTTCATCATTATAACAAGAAGTAGTCATTCCAAAAACCTTGAAGACAAGACTGTACAGCTCTTCCAGAAGAGAACTGGTTCAGATAGCATATTATTGCAAGTTAGAGTATGGTTCAAAGAATAAACTTTCTGGCCATGGAAAGTTAGCATGCCATGCAGAAGGCTAGCTTCCTTCTTGGCATGCTGGTTAGGGAAGTTTATTTAGTTGTTTAGTTATAATATTGGTAATTCAAATGGGACTTTCTCTCTCCAAAATAATTGGCTCCATGAGTGGGCTAGACTACAGGACTTAGGAAGTCCAAGTTTCTTGTTCCTTTTGGGCAAGGACATTTAGGAGACAGAAATGTAGATAGCCCTCATACTATCCATGGATAGTTAAATGGGACTTTTGCAGATTGTCGGTGCTCTGTATCATGGAACTTTTCACAGGAGGGCAATATAATGTGGATCTGAAAGAAAATGGTTGTGTGTGCCCATCCCACTGAATGTGCCCATCCCACTGAATGTGTGAACCCCCCAAAAGTGGCACAGTTAAGAGATAATTGACACTAAAACATGACAAAATTCTCAATGGATTTATCATCACATACCTCGATGCTACATTTAGTGTCATAGCTTATCCCAAAGAACCCTGGAAATTGTAGAAAAAATTAGAAAACAGAAAATTTTCTGTTCAAGAACCCTACCCACCATGCTACTATAAATCCCAGGCCTTCCTGGAAAGAGGTAAGGACACTTAAAGCACCTATAATTTAGATATTACTTTTGTTCTACTGATAGTAGAGGTGGATCATGGACCTAGTCTTCCTGTATCTATAAGCTTTTTTCTTTATATTGTAGAGGAGCAAAACATGGAACTGTTGGGTCCAGCTTCAGTGTTGTACTTGCTCTCATAGTCTGTAGTCAGAATATGATCAGGAGTGGTCTGGAAGGGTTTGGGCCTATTCAGGCTGTGGAATGTCAGCATCAGAGGGATCTTATCTGTGTCAATGTTCTCAAGGAAAAGCAGGCCTAACCCCATATACCTGTCTAGCTCCTTTGGTCTTGACAGCAGCACTGAAGCAGGGCTCTGACATGGTCCAAGCTGTAAGTGGATGGTTCTTTTCTGTCATAAAACATCTCTGGGGATCTATATCAAACTATTCTGCAAATGCTTCTGGTGCTGGTGCTGGTGGTACTGGTGGTGAAGATTCCACTGTTTGATGGACATTTTTCACTGAAGCCAGACTAAACCACCAAATGATAGTCAACTCAGTGGGATAGAGTAAATTGGTAACCTGCAACAGCAGGGGGTTGGGCCCAATGGCCTTCTTGGCCCCTTCCAACTATACTATTCTATGATTCTTATTTGCAGTTACAGATAAGGAAGCATGAAGCAGTTCCTGCTTTTCATTTCCCAAATGCCTTTATCACAAATCAAAACAGAGAAAGAAGAAGAAAGGCTCACATAGCTCAATTCCCCAGTTCATTGCTTTATACAGAAGTCTCTGTTTAATATGGTCCAAGAAACACCAGTCTGCTTGCCATTTGAAAGCAAAAGGAATAATTACTATGAAGCCTTTAGTTGTGGGCTCAAGGGATGGGTAGGGTGGAGCAGAAATGTTATCTAGAGTTTTTAATTTTGCATTCTTGACTAGCAGGTTTTGCTTGTCTGTCGGGTGCCACCAGTCTGATGTAAAAAGGATAAGAAAAGTATTTTTTGCTAGATCATTTCCGCTATTATTTTCCCTTTCTCTCACTGCATGACAGTTTTAAACTTGTTTATGAGAATATAACCCATAACACTTAAGACAGAAATGGTAAGATATAAAATGAAATCAATATATTGTTGGATTTATCCTTGTCTTAAAGGCATTCTTGTATTTCAGTCCTTCTGTTGGATTGCATGAAACTATTTTTAAAATTTCACACCCTCATGGACACAGCTGACACAAAGATACATGCAAGAGAGAAAGTGAATAAATATGTGATTCACTAATATTATCCCTGTACTATATAGCCTCACTATATATTGATCTTGCACAAGGTTTCCAGTTGCCTCTCATCCAGATTGCTACACAGCTCCATGTTTTAGCTTCAGAATTCCTACGAAACCAGAGAATGCTTCCCTAACCAGTCAGAAGGGATCAATCTTTTAACTGCAGCCTTTAATGTTATCTTCTGTTTATTCCCATTTTTCTCAACCAAATACCTTTAATTGACAGAACATTCACGCCAAAGTGGAAGAGAAACAGTGTGCTGTCTCCATAATTCAGGGGATCAACAAAAAAGGGGACATAGTTAAGCATTATGAACAGCCATGTAGCCCTCATTGAGATCAAAAATTATGAATGTGCTTCAGACACTTTTGCTTCAGAGGTATTTAGAGCCTTGTGAACATTTTACTGTGAAACAGTGTTAATCCTCTGATATTATGCTTAGATTTGGGCTGGCACAGGGATTTGCCACAATGTAGTTAAAGTAGGGGATAGAGCCTTTAGGGGGAAAGTATGGTTTTGGCAAAGGAACTTGATGACCGGCTGTGCTTAGGGGTAGTGGGAACTCAGGCCTTGCCAAAATGACGGTCTGGCAAAACTTGTTGCTTATCAGGAGAGACAAATTGCTTCACCCAAGAAACCAGCTTCGGTGTATGGTGGCTTCCCTCCACTGGAGCAGGCAACACACCACAAAGCTATGTGCCTGTGGACATCATTTTTGTATGCAGCCATGGCTGCCCAGCTTGTTGCTGCTTGGTGTGCCATGTGAACCCAGATGGCAGGGGTCATTTGAAGGTTAGAGAACCCCATTTCAGGTTTATTTGGGGGTTGTCTTGTCACTTAGGTTCTTGCAAGCCAGGCAAGAAGCTAAGGTTTCTTTTGTGCTGTGGAGAAACATCTGAGTTAGATTAACAGAAAGTAAAAACTGTTTTGATTAGAATAACATTTGTTTCAAGATCAGACTCCATTCAGCTTTCTCTCCTGTACACTGTTCCATCAAAAATCATGCACATACCATGCAACATGCATATCTCATACCTGGCAATGTGGTGGAGTCAGGAACATGAGCAACTGCTAATCTGATGGTGGTTGGAGAAAACTTTGAGGATGAAACACACTTTGGAATGTTAATAATAAAGTTGGTGCTCATGAAGGTAGTTAAAAGCATGCTGTTGTTAAGAAAGAAATCCAGTGCTGAAAAATGAAATAAATAAGCATGTCAGGATACATTCTTGCTCTAGGCAGCCATGTGATGGGTTATGCCTCACAAAGCTGGAACAAATTAATAAGGTTGATTTAACCAAGTGGTTTTCAAATCAGCTTTGCTTGAATAATAGTTACAACCTTGCAAATGCTCATTGCTAAGTCCAGTGCACAGAACACTGTGTCCAAAGCATTATACATCAAGCAGGCTGCATGCCCAGTGCAGGTGTCCACTTCGACAACTCCACCCACTTCCCTATCAGTGTGCAGGTAAAAATGTGAACTTTTAGTGGAAGCACACCTGAAAATCCAAGCTCACAGCACTCAGGCAGACTGCTCCTGTTCAGAAATTTGTTAGCAGGTGCTACATAACGTTTCATGTGTGCACTTTTTTCCTCCTGCCCTGACAAGACTCAGTAGCTTATTGTGCTATAGAGGCCCAGGGCCAATGAGATGCTGAAAAGTTCACACATGCAGGTTCAGCATTTTGTGATTGCAGCACTGATCCAACCCAGATCAGCTGTCAGAGATGCAAGCTGCCATATTGCCTCAGATGTGGGGCTCTTCAGTGGAACCCGCTGTATGCCTCTGATGGTGAAGCAGCAACACACATGAATGTGTGGAAGCTGAGCTGCCTTGTGGCAGCAGCTTTCCAATTTTGTATGTTCCAGGGACCCTTTCCACATTGTCTTATCCTCTGAGGAGCTTCGCAGTGTCATGGAGGATCTGGAGTAAGTCTCTAAAGTGCTCAGTCAGATCATGCAAGGTACCAACTAACTAGACAGGCATAGCCACTGTATGCCTAACCTGAAGGGAGATGCAACTTCAAAGTGTCCCCGAGCCACCACAGAGAAAGCTCTCCCCTTGTTGCAGAGGTTGAGCACTGTGTCCAAATAGATTGTGGCTGGTCCAAAGCCGTGTAAGCTTTTATAGGGCTTTAAAACCAGCATCTTGAATTGGAACCAGAAGCATATAAGCAGCCAATGCAAAATTCATAAAGGCAGAAGGATACATCACTCAACAAGTGTTCAGCTGCAATGAAACAGGGCTCTTCTGGAAGAAGATGCTGAACAGAACCTATATCACGCCGGAGGAAAAGGCACTGCCATGGCACAAGCCCATGAATGACAGATTGACCCTTTTGCTGTGTGCAAACATAAACGCCAATGTGAAGATTAAACCCCTACTGGTGTACCATTCCCAAACCCCTCATGCATTCAAGGAACAGAATTTCCTTTCGGTGGGTGGTTCAGGTTTTCAGGTAAGTGATCTTGGTCCTGTCCTGGTACTTCAATTGGTACAAAATAGAGCTGCCAGGTTGCTGATGGGGAGCGGCTGTTATTCTCATATAGCACTGGTCCTCTACCAGCCACACTGACTCCCAGTTGAAGTCTGGGCCCAATTCAAGGTGCTGGCACTAACCTATAAAGCCCTAAACAGCTTGGGACCAGGATACCTGAAGGAACGTCTCCTTCCCTACATGCCTTCATGCACCTTAAGATCAGCAGAGGAGGCCTTGTTCCGGGAAACCTCTTTGAAAGAAGTATGGAGGGTATCTACCCAAAGGAGGGCCTCCTCTGCAGTGGCACCCAGATTATGGAATATGCTCCCCAGAGAGGTCTGTCTGGCACTGCCTCTTTACTCTTTTTGGTGCCAGGTAAAGACCTTTTCATTTAGCCATCATTTTAATAATTAAGGATTTTCGATGTTTAAGATCTGATCACAGTCGCATTTCTTTCTTTTCTTTCTTATTTTCCTTCTTTTCTTTCCCCCCCTTCCTTTCCTCCTTTTCTTTAGTTTTTTGAAAGTGGTTGTTTTATGCTACGCTTATTACTTAATGTTTTAATTATTGTTTTATTGTTTTATTGTATTATTATATTACTATTTTAACCTTTGTTAGCTGTCCTGAGGCATATTTCTCAATGGACGGAATAAAATGTTTTAAATAAATACCTTTTCAAATGTTCTGTCTGCCATAATTCAGCTATTTCAAACTTTCATACAACCATTCTGTTAAAGAAGAAACTGATAACAACAGCTTATTTTAAAGTTTGCGGGTATGTTTGTGTGGTTTTAGTAAAGTTGTGGTGGGTAACACATGTACCACCCCTTCCCTGCAGACCCCCTGTTCTCCAAATCAACACTGCCATCAATGTTCAGTGGCATAGACTGTGCCACATTTTCACTTTAAAATATGGGAGTACATACTTTTTCCACACAAAGTTATTATAGCCTGTGGCTTTGGGGAGTATGATTATACATTAAATGTGTGCATGCTTTAAAGCAGGGGTCCTCAAACTTTTTCAACAGGGGGCCAGTTGAAAGGTGCTGGTGGTGGGCACGGGCGTGTGCGGACTGGCGAGGGGGTGGGGGCGGGGCGTGCGCATGTGCACGTGGGGCGAGGTGAGACAGGGCGGGCGTGCATGGCGAGGGGAGGCGAGGTGGGGGCACGTGGTGAGGCAGTGGCTGGTGTACAAGGCAGCGGCTTGCTCACTTAGAGATCATTTTCTCTGAATGAGTCCAAAACAATCTCTGTGCAAGCAAGTCGTCGTCTCCCCACGCACGCGGTGAGACAGTGGCAGGTACGTGCCAGGCAAGGTGGGCGGTGGAGGCGGGCACGTGTGCACCAAGTCCAAAATCTCAGGCGGGCAGGATAAATGGGCATGGCAGGCTGGATTCGGCCTGCGGGCTGTAGTTTGAGAACCCATGCTTTAAAGGGATGACATGCTTTCCGGCATGCCCGGCAATTGGGCAGAGCTTGTGGTGGCATGTGCTGCAGCCACCACTAGGTTCCAGGACAGGGTGGATTGGCCCTGGGACACTTGGATTTGCACCTCTCTACTGCAGGCCTCAGAAGGCAAAATTTGAATCTGAATGTTCAGTAGGAAACACCTCTGAGTCACAAATTTCAAGCCTTGATAGGAAGAAAATATCAGCTTACTGTTTAACACTTCCCCTGTCTCCCAATTTTCCCTCTGCAATGCCATCACAAATATTCTCCTTCCCTGCCAGGCTCCCTGACCAAGTTAAGTAGGATAAAGACTGAAGGACCTAGCACAGGGGTTGGCAACCCACGGCTCTGTCGCCACATGTGGCTCTTGAATCTCTCTGCTGCGGCTCCGTCGCTCAAAACATGCGCCGGCACAGCCACCAATCTGCAACCCGCGCCGATTTACTGAGCTCTTCACAATTTACTGAACTTTTCCTCCCGTTAGGCCAACCATGGATAAATCGAAGAAAAGAAAGATTTCTGAAGAAAACCGAACGTTTAATGGTATGTGGGTAGATTCATTTGCTTTTACTGCTGATAAATTTATGGGGTTTGCTGTTTAATGCATGCACCCTTTCAGCACTGACTTTGACTCTGCAGGAAGCTGTTCTCCTATTCAAAATATATGAAAGGAATCCTACTAGTTTATAATGTAAGATTAAAAATAACAGTTTTTAGTGACTTAACAAGAGCTGCAGCTAAATCATAATGAAGATATAGATCTACTTCCTTGTTTTAAGAAGATTCTTATAAAAATTCCAGCAACATTATTGCATCGGGAGAGGGATGTTTGTTCAATATTGCAACAGACTATTATTTATATTTGTTGTATTGCAGAAACTCTACTCACTGTATGAAAATATCAATTAGTCCTTTTTTTATTCAGGTTGACAGCTGACTGCACCCTCCAGTACACATGATAAAAGGATGAGGGCACACAAAAGCAGATGGCATTTTTGGTTTGCTGCAGGTGGATAATTTAAGTTCGGCTTTTTATTTCATAAATATGAGGAGGACTCAAATAGGCATTGAGTATTTTCTTTGAAAGTAACCTTCAACCCAGCATCTTTTTTTTCAGAGTTCAAGATGTTTTTGTTGCATGCAGAAATAAAAATTTGTTTTCTCTGTAGCAGTTCATTGTTCATAAATGCAACACACTATAGTTTTTGTATACATAGCATAAAGGTAAAAAACAATACATGTAGTGTTATCTTCATTTTAGATGTCAAAAGGGCTTTGCGGCTCCCAGTGTTTTCTTTTCTGTGGGAAACGGGTCCAAATGGCTCTTTGAGTGTTAAAGGTTGCCAACCCCTGACCTAGCAGGTACTAAAAAGCTTATTTTCCCCACGAAACAGACCCAGGAAACTCTTGAAGTCCATTGCCGCACACTGACTGAACTATGTAATGACATCAGTGCTACAGAACCCTCTGCTCTTGGAGGATCCTCTTGAAATACCCAAGACAGCTCAGAATGTACTCCTTCTCTCAATTTTACCCACATATAAACAACTGGATGAAAAAGTCGAGGCTAAGATGCCATGACTGGTCCAATGTCACACAATCCTTTGACAGGAGATGGGGAATACATGGCTCAACCGTACTGGGAAAAAAAGAGCTTGGGGTCATTGTGGACTACAGGCTAAATATGAGCCAACAATGCAATGTAGCTGCATAAAGGGAAAATGCTATTTAAGGATGCATTAATAGTATCACTTACAAATTATGAGAAGTAATAGTTCCCCTATATTCTACACTAGTCATACTTCTAGAATATTGTGTCCAGTTCTGGGCACCAACATTTTTAAAAGATTCAGAAAAACTAGAAAGAGTCCAGAGGAGAGCAACAAAAATGATCCAGGTCTTGAAAACACTGCCCTGTGAGAGGAGACTAAGAGAGGTGGGCATGTTCAGCCTTGAGAAGACAAGACTGAGGAGAGACATGTTATCCCTGTAGAAGTACCTCAAAGGTTGTCACAGAGAGGAAGGCCAAGACCTCTTCTTGCTGATGCCAGAATGTAGGCCATGGAATAATCAATTCAGGAAAAGCTTCCTCTCTGTCAGAGCAATATGACAGTGGAACCAGCTGCCTAGAGAGGTGGTGGGCTCTCCCACACTAGAGACATTCAAAAAGAAAGTGGATGGTCATCTGAGTGGGATGGTGTAAATTGGTGTCCTGCAACAGCAGGGGATAGACCCGATGGCCTTCTTGGCCCCTTCCCACCCTGCTATTCTATGGTTCTATGAATTTGTGGCTCAATGAGGGCTAGATCTCCTCTTGAATCCCAGGCCAGCACTATAATCAGTATGCCACACAGAAGACTGATTTATATTTCCTGGGAAGTATCTATCTAAAATTGTACTCCAAGTGTCTTATTTTATCATACAGAGTTAACTATATCATCCCCAAAATAATGTAAAAGCAGCACATGAAGCCAACAAATATAATCACCAGTAATACCACCTCCTTTGGGAAAAATTTCACAAAAGTCTATTCTGAAGTCTCAAGAAGGTCTAGTGAAATAGAAGTTTGCATAATCCTTAAGATGGGGGTTTTTCCAGGGGGATGAATTCAGAGTGAAGACCTTCACTGTACAGGACAACAGAAAAGTAAACTATACTTTGCACAGCTGCAAGTCTTAGTAAGAAAAGGGTGACAGCCTTACTTTGGACACAGACAAGAAAAAATCAGACACATCACCCTGAAAATAGCACTTTCCCATAACAAATTGCCTCTTTTCACAGATGTTTCTGAATCACAACAAATACCTTAAAATTTAGCTGTGCCATCAGTAACTAAAATAGCTTTAGTTGCCATCAATCTTTATATTCCCCTTCAATCCAGCCTTCTACCCCTATGACTGTTTTAAAAAAGCATTAGAGGGAGTTGTGCGCTTTGCTTCAGCATTCATTAAAAATTGGATTCTGAAAAACGTGGCAAGAATAACTGACTCTATGCCCCAACCACTGATGCTGAAGATGCTGAAGTTGACTGGTTCTATGAAGGTGTACAACACCTTCTAGAATTAACACCCAAAAATGATGTCCTTATCATCATGGGGGATTGGAATGCTAAAGCAGGAAGCCAAAAGATAACTGGAATAACAGGCAAGTTTGGCCTTGGAGTACAAAATGAAGCAGGGCACAGGCTGGTAGAATTTTGTCAAGAGAATACGGTGGTCATAGCAAACACACTTTTCCAACAACCCAAGAGACAACTCTACACATGGACGTCACCAGATGGTCAACACAGAAATCAGATTGACTATGTGCTCTGCAGCCAAAGATGGAGAAGCTCTATACAGTCAGTAAAAACAAGACCAGGAGCTGACTGTGCCTCAGATCATGAGCTTCTTGTTGCAAAATGTAGGCTTAAATTGAAGAAAGTAGGGAAAAGCACTAGGCCACTCAGGTATGACCTAAATCATATCCCTGATGAATATACAGTAGAGGTGACAAATAGATTTCAGGAATTAGATCTGATAGACAGAGTGCCTGAAGATCTATGGATGGAGGTTTGCAACATTGTAGAAGAGGTAGCAACTAAAGCCATCCCAAAGAAAAAGAAATGCAAGAAAGCAAAATGGCTGTCTCAGGAAGCTTTACAAATAGCTGAGGAAAGGGAAGCGAAAGGCAAGGGAGAAAGAGAAAGATATACACAATTGAATGCAGAATTTCAGAGAATAGCTAGAATAGATAAGAATGCCTTTTTAAATGAACAGTGCAAAAAAAATAGAAGAAAACAATAGAATAGGGAGGACCAGCATCTGTGTCTGTTTCCTCATATCAGTCACTGGATCTCCTTCCTCCTTATTTAGTGGTCCTACCACTTGTCTCCCCTTCCTCTTGCTATTTACCTGCTGAAAGTAACCCTTTTTGTTGCTCTTGATATTCTTGGAAAGTTTCAGCTCGTAATTAGCCTTAGACTTGCGAAGAATCCTTCTGCAACGGGCCTCCTCCTCCCGGTATACCCTTTTGTCTATTTGCCCCAGTACCCATTTCTGACAGAGGTTCCTCTTTCGTCTAATCCATCTAACCGCCTCCTTTCGCTTCCATGGCAGCACTCTCCTCCACCTCCCCATCTTACTAACTAGAGGTATCGTCAAGGCTTGCACCTCCAAAACCACCATTTTGAGTACTATCCACCCCTCCTCAACTCGCTTACCTTCGAGTAACCTATCCCAAGAGAATTTCCTCAGTCTGGCCTTCAATTGGCCAAAGCTGGCCTCCTTGAAGTCCCAGGTTCTAGTGCTCGACCTCCTGCATGTCCCCAGTCCCCTGATCTCAAAGCAAAGGATGGAGTCATCACTTGCATCCAGAGCTCCCCTAATCTGTACTTCATCTATCAGCTCCTCTCTATTGGTCAAGACCAAGTCAAAGATGTTTCCCCACCCTCATCGCCTCTCGGACCCTCTGTGTGAAAAACCCTCTCTCTATAGCCTCTAGGAAGCAACGTGACCTGACTGTCATTGCCGAGTAAGTTTCCCAACTAATATACGGGAGATTGAAATCTCCCATAATTACTGTGTTTCTCCCCCGAGATATCCTTAGAATCTGGCCTGTCAGGACATCATCCAAGGTCTCAAGTTGACCTGGAGGGCAATAACATACCCCCACTGTCAGGTCCCTTTCCCTATTAAAACCCCTAAGTTTCACCCAGATTGCCTCTGCAGAGTCCCTATCTGTGCTGCATTCCGTCTCACTGCATCCTATCCCTTATCTGACATATAAAGCCATGCCCCCACCCCTCTTTCCCTTCCTGTCCTTTCTAAAAAGATGATACCCCTCTATGCTCACATTCCAATCTTGTCTTTCATCCAAGTTTCTGTGATTCCCACCAGATCATACCCTCCTATTCCCAGGACAGCTTCAAGCTCTTCCTGCTTATTACCCATACTCCTAGCATTGGTGTACATGCACCTCAACTCCTTCCCACCACTTCCTTTCCTTGGAGTCCCCAGCCTCCTCCTTCCTCCCATCCTCCCTGATACCTGGCCCCTCTCTGTAGGAGTTCTGTCAGTCCCTGCAGTACCTCTAAAATCCTGCTCCCAGAGCCCTGATCCTCTCCCCACACTTGTCCAGTGCAGACACTGGACATTTCTGGGGGGCCTGAACGCCCCCCGGCTCAGTTTAAAGTCTTCCGGATGAAGCTTGCGAGAGCATCTCCAAAGGACCTTTTCCCCATCCTTGTGAGGTGCAACTTGTCCCTTGCCAGAAGTCCATTGGCAAGAAACCGGGTGCCATAGTCGAAGAACCCGAAGCATTCCTTCTGGCACCACACACTAAGCCAGTCATTAACCTTGGAGACCCTCCTTTCCCTGCCTGGCCCAAATCCCCGGACTGGTAAGATTGATGAGAAGGCCTTTGGGGCCTTTAGCTCCTGGAGTTTCTTTCCCAAGGTCTTGAAGTCCCTGGTGATCCCAACCATGCCCTGCCTGGCTACGTCGTTTGTGCCCACATGGATTACCAGGAGCGGCTGGTGACTGCCGGAGCGAACAAGATGCTCCACTCTGTCCTTCACAAACCTCCCTTGTCTCCAGGTTGGGGCAGCACACCATCGCCTCAGTGCCCCTCAGCAGGGAGTCCCCAACAACAATCACTTGCCACTGTGTCTTCCCGGTGGTGTTGGGCAGCCGTGCCCTGGCCCTCGCCTCACCTGCAGCAGCCCCCTTGCTGCTTGTTGTCCCAGGCTGGGGATCCTGCTGGTCCCCCAAGGTCTTATCAGCCCCAGCCTCCCCAAGCAGAGAGAACCTGTTTCCCAGCTCCAGATTGGTGCCAGGAGAAGGAGGAGGCCATGCTGGCCTCCTCCTCCTGTGGGTGACATGCCTCCATGTCTCCCTGGCTGCTTCTCCCGTGGTGTCTCCCTCAACCCTCTGTCCAGAGGGGGGCTGCTCTGGGGTAGGGGGCCTGGAGAGCTCTCTTGGCCCTCAGGCACCTCACCTCCTCCCCTAGCAGGGTCACCAGCTTGCACCGAGGGCAAGTGTAACCCTGCCTGTTTTGGGGGAGAAGGGTAAACCTGTCCCAGCTGTTGCAGCGGACAGCAACACCCGTGACTCCCGCCAAGGCCATCTCCAGGTCTGTCATTGAGATCCCTTCCGAGACCTTACCTTGATCCCCCACCTTGGCTGTCCTGCAGTTCCCCTAACTCGCCCTGTTCCCCCAGACAAAAACCCACCCACACACACAAGGATAAAATAAAATTTAAATTGGAGGAAAAACAAAGCAAAGCACAGCACAGCACAGCACCAAAAAATGAAATGAAACAAAACAAAACAAGGCAATAGAACAAAAAACAAAACCCTCAGCGTCCCAGGGAAGGGAGTCCCTGGGCGGCCTGGGCCGCAGCTAAGGGATGCAGACAAGGGACGACACCCTTCCTCTCTGCTACTCCTGACCCTCTGCTCTGCTACCCAGCTCCTACCTTGCCATCACCAGTCTCCTGGCCACTCAGCACTCTCTCCCAGCCTGTGCCTCTGCTGCCCTGTTGCTCTGCCAAGAGGCCAGAGCCAAAAGGGCTTGCAGTGGCTGAGCACGGCCTTAACAGACCCTGAGACTGGTGGCCCCGCCTGTCTGCTTCCTCCTAGCCCCTCTAGCCCCGTCTCCCTTCCTCTCTGCTGCTCCTGCTCCTGCTCCTCTGCTCCTCTGCCCAGCTCCTACCTAGCCTTCGGCAGTCCCCTGGCCACTCAGCACTCTCTCCCAGCCTGTGCCTCTGCTGCTCTGCCACTCTGCCAAGAGGCCAGAGCCAAAAGGGCTTGCAGTGGCTGAGCACGGCCTTATCAGTCCCTCAGGCTGGTGGCCCCGCCTGTCCGCTTCCTCCTAGCCCCTCTAGCCTCTCTGGCCCTGCCTCCCTTCCTCTCTGCTGCTCCTGCTCCTCTGCCCAGCTCCTACCTAGCCTTTGCCAGTCCTCTGGCCACTCAGCACTCTCTCCCAGCCTGTGCCTCTGCTGCTCTGCTGCTCTGCCAAGAGGCCAGAGCCAAAAGGGCTTGCAGTGGCTAAGCATGGCCTTATCAGTCCCTCAGGCTGGTGGCCCTGCCATAACCACGATGGTGTTACCACTGACCTCGAGCCAGACACCCTGGAATGTGAAGTCAAATGGACCTTAGGAAGTCTTAGCAACAACAAAGCTAGTGGAGGAGACAGTATTCCAGCTGAGCTATTCAAAATCCTAAAAGACGATGCAGTGAAAGTGCTACACTCAATATACCAGCAAATTTGGAAAACTCAACAGTGGCCACAGGATTGGAAAAGGTCAGTTTACAATCCAATTCCAAAAAAGGGCAATGCCAAATAATGTTCAAACTACTGCACCATTGCACTCATTTCACATGCTAGCAAAGTGATGCTCAAAATCCTACAAGCTAGGCTCCAGCAATATGTGGACCGAGAACAACCAGAAGTACAGGCAGGATTTCGAAGAGGGAGAGGAACTAGAGATCAAATTGCCAACATACGCTGGATCATGGAGAAAGCTAGGGAGTTCCAGAAAAACATCTACTTCTGCTTCAATGACTATGCTAAAACCTTTGACTGTGTGAATCACAACAAATTGTGGCAAGTTCTTAAAGAGATGGGAGTACCAGACCATCTTATTTGCCTCTTGAGAAACCTATATGTGGGTCAAGAAGCAACAGTGAGAACTGGACATGGAACCACTGATTGGTTCAAAATTGAGAAAGGAGTTCAGTAAGGCTGTATACTGCCGCCCTGCCTATTTAAATTATATGCAGAGCACATCATGAGAAAGGCGGGGCTAGATTAATCACAAGTTGGAATTAAGATTGCTGGGAGAAATATCAACAACCTCAGATATGCAGATGATAGCACTCTCATGGCAGAAAGTGAAGAGGAACTAAAGAGCCTCTTGATACGGGTGAAGGAGGATAGCGCAAAAGTTGGCTTGAAATTCAACATTAAGAAAACTAAGATCATGGCATCCGGTCCTCTCACTTCCTGGCAAATAGATGGGGAAGAAATGGAGGTAGTGACAGACTTTATTTTCCTGGGCTCCAAGATCACCACAGACCGTGACTGCAGTCAAGAAATTAAAAGACTCTTGCTCCTTGGGAGAAAAGCTATGGCAAATCTGGACAGCATACTAAAAGGCAGAGACATCACCCTGCCAACAAAAGTGCACATAGTCAAGGCTATGGTTTTCCCATTTGCAATATATGGCTGTGATAGTGGACCATAAGGAAGGCTGAGTGCCGAAGAATTGAGGCCTTTGAATTGTGGTGCTGGAGAAGACTCCTGGGAGTCCCTTGGACTGCATGGCAATCAAACCAGTCAGTCCTAGAAGAGATCAACCCTGACTGCTCCTTAGACGGCCAGATACTGAAGATGAAACTCAAATACTTTGGCCACCTAAAGAGAAGAACTCACTGAAGAAGAGTCTAATGCTGGGAACAATTGAGGGCAAAAGAAGAAGAGGACAGCAGAGGATGAGGTGGCTAGATGGAGTCACTGAAGCAGTCGGCGTGAGCTTAAGTGGACTTCAGGGGATGGTGGAAGACAGGAAGGCCTGGGTCGGGCATGACTTTGCAAGTAAACAAACAAGCAAAACCAAAACCCTAATCCATCGGACAGTGCATTGGTCTATCTCAAAACCCCTCAATTTCTCAACCAGGATATCATGGGGCACTTTGTCAAAGGCCTTGCTGAAATCCAGTTAAACCACATCCACTGCGTCCCCTCCATCTAGCCACCTTCAAACCTCATCATAGAATTCCACAAGGTTTGTCTGGCAGGACCTATTATTGCGGAAGCCATGCTGTGTGGCCACCAGCCTCCCTCCCTATCTAGCACCTCGTAGATCTCTTGCTATTATGATCCTTTCCATTGTTTTTCCTACAATTGATGTAAGGTTAACTGGTATGTAATTCCCCATGTCACTTCTACTACCCTTTCTGAAAGTTGGGACCACTGACACCACCCTCCAGTCCTATGAAACTTCACCCATTCTCCAGCATGTGTGAGAGAAGCCCTGCCAGCTATCAAAGTACTCTCGGGTGTATCCCATCAGGGCCTGGCGCCTTTGCATCATCCAGTGCCATGATGAGCAACTTGACTTCTAGGGGGGTGACTGTAATCTGTGCCCCTAAATCCTGGGCCATATCTAATCTCCAATGCAGATCTCCCCCATCCTGCTTTGAGAAGAACACAGAGGCAAAATAGTCATTTCCATCTGTGCCTGTTCCCTCACATCAGTCACTGGATCCCCTTCCTTCTTATTAAGTGGTCTCTCTACCTGTCTCTCCTTCCTCTTGCTATTTACATGCTGATAGAAGCCCTTTTTGTTGCTTTTGATATTCTTTGCAAGTCTTAGCTCGTAATCAGCCTTAGCCTTGAAAGGAATCCTTCTGCAAAGGGCCTCCTCCTCCCTCCTCCTCCCGGTATACCCTTTTGTCTATTTGCCCCAGTGTCCATTTCCAACAGAGGTTCCTCTTGTGTCTAATCCCTCTTACCACCTCCTTTCACATCCATGGCGACACTTTCCTTCGCCTCCCTGGCTTACTAACTAAAGTTATTGTCAAGGCTTGCGCCTCCAAAACCTCACTTTTGAAGTGCTATCCACCCCTACTCAACTCCCTTGCCTTCCAGTAACCTATCCCAAGAGACTTTCCCCAGTCTGGCCTTCAGTTGGCCCTCTTGAAGTCCCAGGTTCTAGTGCTCAACCTGCTGCATGTCCCCATTCCCCTGATCTCAAAGCAAAGGATGGAGTGATTGCTCACATCCAGAGCTTCCCTAACCTGTACTCCATCTATCTGCTCCTTCCTGTTGATCAAAACCAAGTCAAGGATGTTCCCACTTCCCCCCTCATTACCTCTCGGACCCTCTGTGTGAATAACCCTCCCTCTATAGCTTCTAGGAAGCAACGTGACCTGGCTGTCACTGCTGAGTGAGTCTCCCAACTAATATCTGGGAGATTGAAATCTCCCATAATTACTGTGTCTCTCCCCTGAGATATCTTTAGAATCTGGCCTGTCAGGACATCATCCAGGGTCTGAAGGTGACCTGGAGGGCGATAACATACCCCCACTGTCAGGTCTCTTTCCCTGTCAAAACCCCTAAGTTTCACCCAGACTGCCTCTACCGAATCCCCATCTGTGCTGCATTCTATCTTACTGCATCCTATCCCTTTCCTGATGTATAAAGCCATGCCCCCACCCCTCTTTCCCTTCCTGTCCTTTCTAAACAGGTGATACCCCTCTATGTTTATATTCCAGTCCTGCCTTTCATCCCACCAAGTTTCCGTGATCTCCACCAGTTCATACCCTCCCGTACCCAGGAGAGCTTCCAGCTCTTCCTGCTTATTACCCATGCTTTTAGCATTGGTGTACATGCACCTCACCTCCTTCCCACAGCTTGCTTTCTTGGGGATCTCCAGCCTCCTCCTTCCTCCTTGATACCGGCCTCCTCTTCATAGGAGTCCTGTCAGCCCCTGCAGTATATCTAACACCCTGGTCCCATAGCCCTGATTCTCTCCCCTCACTTGTCCAATCAGGACAATTGGACAGGCATCATCCACAGTATAGTTTTACAAATCATGGTAGGGAGAAAAGTAACTTATTCTGTTTTGAAACATAACTACATCTGTCTATTCATGTATCTCATTATATATTATAAGCAATATGGTTTCTTCATTGTTGCTTTATCATACAGATGTCCTTTCTAGTCATTCACTACTGTCATGAGAGTTTCAAGTCATTTGCCACTGCTCAGGCAAGCTCAATGATTGCTTTGAAAGTTCCAGCTGTTTTTCAGACTTAGGTAATCTAACTCCATCAAATTATTAGTGTTATTTTTCTGTAGTGCCACCTGGGACTATGTAGATAAGTCAATTTCATTATGACAGAGGTTGATCCCTTGTAAGGTTTCCAGTGTCTTTGAGTTAGGGCTCCTGTG